TCTCATTTTCTCTAAGGCACCAAAGTGGTGTAAGGGGGCCCTTATGGAAACCAGAATCAGGCTCTCTGTGTTCCCCAGAGATTGGCTGAGTCATTCTCAGAGCCCGACAGCTGATGTAAAAAGGGCCAACATGCTGAGCGGGTCACTGGCCGTGGTTGCATCTGCGTCAGTGACCGCTCCTGACAGCAAAGTGCATAGAAGGATGATTACTTCTCAGAGCTCAAGGACGTCGCTAAAAGATCATGTGGGATAAAATAAATAAATAAATAAGCACACATAAAAAGCCTTCCCCCCTCCGGCATCCCTTTTAATCTTGGAGATATGTATTCATGTATTAAACATTTTGTGAGGCGATTATGTAAGCGAAATCTCTGCAAATCTTTAAAAAAAAATTAAACTGATTACTGCCCAACTCTCCCTCTGGATAACCTTTGGCAGATTTAGCAGATAACCAAGAGCAAATGAAGACCAAATAAATTGCTTCAAGTTTGGTTGCCATGGACGTCTGCGTCCTATCAGTTTACAGCAATCTATTTCCTGGGGTGGTTGGAGGCACCGTTGACAGCTGCACAAAGGAGCCGTAGCCTCAGACAAAGCCATGCACACACACACATATATGTATATATTTAGAAACATCTGCTGCAATTTAAGATATTAGTAACATGCCTGAGCAGCTTGAAGCAGACGAACAAGGGTAATGGCAGATTACTTGCCCCCAGGGGCACTGGCTTAGAAACAAACTGATTGTCACAATAACTATGATGAACACCTCCTTCTAACCTGCCCAGAGGAGCCAAGCTGGGTTATCCCCTGCTGTGTCTGGCTATGGTGCTCATCACATAGAGCACACAGTGTGAGGAGCCCACTGGGGCCTGTCCAGGTGTTTCCACCATACAATGTAGATGTTATCTTTGTCGCCACTCCCCAAGTATGGGTAATTGCCTAGAGCAGGGGTGGCCAACCTGAGCCTGCAAAAGAACCAGAATTTACCAATGTACATTGCCAAAGTGCCACAGTAATACGTCAGCAGCCCCCCCATCAGCTCCCCCTCCCCGGCACCCAGCACCTCCCACCCACCGGCAACCCCACCAATCAGCGCCTCCCCCTCCCTCCCCACACCTCCTGATCAGCTGTTTTGTGGCATGCAGGAGGCTTTGGGAGGGAAGGGGAAGGAGTGAGGGCACGGCAGGCTCAGGGGAAGGGCCCTGTGGCAGAGCCAGGGGTTGAGTACCCCCGGCACACTGGAAAGTTGGCGCCTGTAGCTCCAGCCCCAGAGTTGGTGCCTATACAAGGAGCCGCATTTTAACTTCTGAAGAGCCGCATGTGGCTCCGGAGCCACAAGTTGGCCACCCCTGGCCTAGAGCTAGCTTCTGACTTTGTATCTGCATAAGGGACGAGGGGTAACTGAGAACCACCCACCTCTAGACTTAGGTCTGGGTGTGTAGGAATAAGCAGGGCTATTCACCAGTTTCCTACCTGCTCCAGGAAGGGAGTGGCCTTGGCTCCACTTCCCTCTTCTCACTGGCCAGAGTCACTGAGCCAGCCCAGGGGGAAGGGCAGAGATAGCAATTTACTGCTGGATTAGGAAGAAAAATGTACGGGTGTCCAGGCTCAGCCAGGATACAAACTGAGGGAAAAAAGACGTTTAGTCCAAGTTTCCCAGAGCCACCTCCATCAAAACAATGACAGATGCTGCAATCCAGAAATAAAATACTTTGGCAAGGCCGCCTCCTTGGCAATCCAAAACCAAGACAACTCTCCCCTGCTGCTTCACTAATGGCAAAGAGGGAAACATTTCTGGCAGATGAACATCTGCACAAGGTCCTGCTGAATTTCTTTGTCAATTCCACTAAGCTGTGGGTGTTTTCCCTGGGCTCAGTCCCTAGGCAGTCCCAGCAGCCAGCCAAGAGCTTCCCTTGCTCCCCTGGTTCCTCCCAGTACTGAGCTGTCCATGGTCCTGCTGCTCTTTCACCCAGCCAGGAACACAGTCTTCTCTCCTCCAGCGGCAGGCAGCAACTGAGTGTCTCTAACCCTGCAGCTCCTTTTATGTGATTCTGCTGGACCCTGATTGGCTGCTTCCTCACAACTACTCCAGGCCACTTGGAGGGCTTCGCTTCTGCTCCTCTCTGGGACAGGGTGTGGCAGAACCCTGAGGCCTCCAGCAGGGGTTCTCTGGGCCTAATCTACCCCATCACAAATCCCAAAATCAATCTATGATTAATTAATGAAATGACAGTTTTAAACACTAACTCACTTTACAAAATAAAGGCCTGGTCCAATCAGTGGAAAGACTCTCCTTGACCTCCATGGGCTTGCAGTCAGGCTCTTTGAACAGCATGGCACTGGTAAAATTATATGATGTTTATCTGTCTGGGATTTTGTGGCTTAGCCTTTTTTTGTAGCCTTGAATCCAAGGGTAACGACTGAATAAAGCCAAAGGATCCAGATGACTAACTTCCCAGACGTTACTGTCAGATCATTTCCCACATTTTGGGTGGGCCTTTCCACCCAAAGAGAAGGCAGGGACCCTTATCTGAGATACGCATTGCCCTCTTCAGCGACGGATGTATGCTAAAACAATTTGAGAAGTCTTCTCATTTGAGCAGAGGTTATCATCCTTCCCCTTGCATCATAATCCAGCATTTTCTCTCTCATGAGGACCGAACCAAAGTAGAGACAGGCCCAAGCAGAAAACCCAGTTGCAAACACCTCTAACTAGAAAGCTTGGATCAGGTTTTGAACATCATGGCTCAGGTCAATGCCTGGTGCTTCCCTCAGAGAAGTTCTCAGCTTTGTATTAGCTGCTGGCTGAGCTGTCAGACTTGTATCAACTCCCTACCACTCATCTCCCGTTCCTGGTGTTTCCAAGATGAAGGCTTAGTCTTAAGCATCTATCATCTTCTCACCTTCCAACCTCACTTAGGATCAAATCTTGCATCCATAAAAGTCAATTGGTGGGGTCAGGATTTCACCATAGGACAAAGACCCACTGATGTCCATAGTGCAGGATCAGGCCTTTGTTACACTTTAACTATAGACTTTCTGTTTACAGCCCAGGTGCACAGAAATTCCTTGGGAACAACACAGTCAAGCTTTCTTCCGTGGCCTAAGCACCTTGGCTTGATGCTGAGATTAACCAAGATGTGCAGCTCTGGCTTGGAAACAGCAACAAACCAAAACTAGGGCTCAGAATACACTGGCCTGCTTCATTTCTCAAAACCAACATTTATACAGAATGCCTATTTGTACAGATTTCATTTATTAAGATCCAATAAGAGATTATAGTATCAGCAACTAAGCAGATATGCAGTCATCCCAGCTTTTGGCTCCTGGCCGGGTGGCAAAGTACTACTTTTTTTTTGCTACAAAAAAGAGAGCGCATAGCTGTCACACTCATTAAAGTGCAACCAGACAGGCTTCAGCCATCCCTGAAGGGTATTAAAGATGTGTCCCGATGGCTTATTGCCAGTGTTCAGGTGAACATCCCATTCTAAGCAACAGTCCAAAGCTCTTATGTAGCCAGCTGAGTCTCCTGTTTGTGCTAAGCACGTGCAATTGAGATATTCCAATTTACTTGTGCTGTCCTGTCCACCTGGCAGCCTTATGTATAAATGACATTTTATGTATGTCTCCTGGCTCCCTACATGTGGCAACTCCAACACTTCTCCAGGACACTCAGTAGCACTGTTTCCCTCTTGGTCTGATGAGATTTGGGACTTGAGAAGCTTTCAGAAGTGATCATGTGGGGCAAAACAAGTAGTCTTACAGCTTATCAACAAATGGCTGAGACCCAGAGGAGAAAATTAAAATCTCGGAGGACAGGAAAATATAGACGAGAAATATGAACTATTCTGAAGGGCTCTGTCCTTGGCCCACTCCTCTTTGCCCTCTGCATCCTCTCTCAAGGTGACTGTAGCCACCCCCATGGCTTTAGCTACCATCTTTAAGCCAATCACTCACAAACCAACCTGTCCACTGACACCTCATTTTTGATGTCTCACCATCAGCTTCAATCTAACTAGGCCAACTCCTAACCATCCCTCCCACCATGCCCACAGAAAGCAAGATCTTCAGGGGAAGCAACTGGCAGAGGGGATCTGGGAAGAAGCTAAAGTCCCCCTCTGGAAACAGAGGTTTCCTCCTGGAGGAGGTAGCTGACTGCTTCTCAGACCCTCCCACAGCAGTTGGACTGTGGACACCTACATCAGTTCTGCACATGCATTTAGAAGATAAAGGGCAAATCCTGCTGTCCTCTTCCTGGGCTCAGAGGGCCTATGATGTAACAGAACCAGAGCTGTTCCACAGCCCAGACAGGGAAGGATTTGAGGAATCAATTTAGGCATCAGTACACCATGCAACACAGATCTGGAGGGGATTCCTATGCTCCATCCTAAAGGGGGAGGACTTAGAAGTGAGGTTGCTACCACACAGTTCCACAGCCTGCTCCCCCCGGGAAGGGGCCAAGACCAGGTAGTGGCCATGAAAGCTACTGCAGCGATAGTAGTGACTCCTGAGGAAGAGCCCAATGGCCCAAGGGGTGGAGCAGAGCTTCCTCCACAGACCTAGCACACAGCCCATTTCCCTGGGGCTGGGGGCAGAATTCGGACCTGAGAGAAGGTGGCTTTGCTTTCCGTTCAGTTACGGCTTTTATAAAAGCAGTTTTAGCGTTAATGTGACTGTGGCCATTTTCCTTAGGATTTTCGATTTTATTTTTGTGTAGTGTAAAGCTGTTCGTTCCTGCGCCAAGTTTTAATTGGAAGAAGAAAAAAAAAAGCCCCTCACTATGCAGGCAGCACCGCTGAGTGACTAACCAAGGCCCTTTTAGAGCTGTAGTACAAGTACAGCTACAAAGAACCCAATGACTCTGACCACTTTCCTATTTATTTTATATATCTCTCTCTCACACACACACACACACACACACAAATATCATAGATGTATATAGAGTACAAACAAATTCCCCTGCCCCCTACCCCTGGTGGAATACAATGAAACTTCACCTGGCATCATCATCTCGCGCTATTAGAAGGCGCATGTGGCTGGTGGCAGAGGCTGTCCTGAGAATATCCACAGCCCTGTGGGAAGACAAGAATGACTATCAGGTGCAAAAAGAGGACAAGAGAGCAATACTGGGCCACAGTTATGTGGCAGAGGGCTCACACATCAGCATGTCAAACTCAGCAGCGAGACATGTATTGGGCAAACTTTAATGACGGCTTTTTGGCAAGGGCCATTGGCAGACAGAACATCTCCCAGGCTCCCGATCACCTTGTCTGCCAGCAGAACTGGAGGGAAGGTAAATCACAGCCTGAGTTTCCTCACTGCTGCACTAGCTGGGGACCCTCAGATAATAAGGCCAACCTATTAGCAAGTATCTCCTCACTACCGTCTACATTGCAAGCCTTCCGTCCCTTACGCCCGGCCAGATTCAGAGCACTACAAATACAGAGCCCTAGCACAGTCATGAATCAAACCCCCAGAGCATGTGTCTGCTCTCTACTGTTTGGACATAGAGAGAGACTTATCTGTGTGCCATAGGCCCTATGCTACTAAAATCTAATGGGGATTTTCTATCACCTAAAGTAAAAGGGGCCAGTGCTTTTGGAGTAGGAAGATTAGGGTCCTATGCCTGCTATTTTCCGAGTCTCCATGTGGCTGTTTTGGGCAGCATAGTGACAATGAAAAATTCCGAGGCAGCCACAAATTTACTACACTATTTAAAGAACAACAGGCACCTCTGAAAGTGTAAACCTTCAACCATTCCTCTTAGACATCTGAATTTTCTCATTCATGCATTGTTGGTGTCTGGGTAATGCTGCAACCTCCTTGGAGCACAGAGACATGGGTCAGAATGCGGCCCTCCAGCGGATTCCCCAGGCAGGAGCTGTACTGGGCCCATGAACACAGTGCTACATTGGCTGTTCCCCTGCCTGGCTGCCAGCAGAGGGACATACTGGGAAAGGGGGTTGAGGGTGGGGGCCTATCATAGGCAGGAGAGGGAAGGTCCAGCGCACTCAGCACTGTAACAATTCTGGGATGCTAAGTAGCTCATAGTGAGGTGTGTAAGGCTACCATAAGGTAAAGCAGCCCTCTGGGCTACCCTGACTTATGCCCAGGGCCACTTCGACTCTTGGAACAGCCCAGAACCTGGAAGCACAAAGCTAGTATAAAGAACCTTTACCTTCCTACATAAAAGGTGCAGCCCAGAATCGGACTTTTGTCTTTTGCTATGTTTGCACAATGTCGGGTGCACTGTTATTTTGCACAGAGCGTCAAAGTAAAAAATATTGGGGCAATGAAGTTCTCTCCACTTCCTCTGACCTTAGAGGGTGGGTGGGTTCAGGTTGAGTTTGCATTCTCGATGAAGGTTAAAGTCACTTCCAGTACAGTTTGGGGTTCTTTGCTCTATTACAAGGAAGCTTTTCTTAACAGAAGAAGAATTTTATAGGGATGCTGGTCTAGGAAAGAAGTGTTGGATGGATAGCACTGGAACCAGAAGCCCATTGTTTAGGTACAGAACACAGACAGCAGCAACACTGCAATGTTCTTCATCCCAACTGTTCCCCAACACACATTACAGGACTTCATGGAACTGAAATGAAAGCATTTGGATATGGTACCTCTCACTCGTGACTCCAATTAAAGAATCTCCGTTGACCTCCAAGATCTGATCTCCTGGCTGCAAGCGTCCTAAACAAAGAAACCAGGAGACATTGAATGGATGGTTAATTCTTCCAGTAGTATGCTTTAATTCCCTGGAAGGCATAAAGGCAAATCACAAAATGCAGAAGGTTTTGCGGGGATCTAGAATTGTTCCTGTAGCTGGAGATGCTAGTGATTATATATCTTAGATTAGTTTGGATTGTTAGACACATTGGTTAACTGATCAAAAGACCCAATTCTGTTGGGAAAAAACAATGTTGGCTTGGGTTCAAAGGGGCCAAATCCTGAATTCTGTCCAGTTCTCCCTCCCTCCTTACTCAGGAGAAACTCACTGGAGGTTTACCTGAGTGAAGAGCGGGCAAAATCGAGCAAGTGTCTCAGGAGGTCTTTGTGGCCTGGAGGCAGCATACGACTAATAAGATCTGATTTTAAAAAGAGAATCCTAAAATTGAGAGAATCTGCTGTGTAGCATGGATGTGTCTCTGTGCAGGAGGTGGAATGACATCTAAACACTCTATCTAAACACCTTAGAAATAAGAGAGCAGGTTTGACCTTAGACATGAAAATAGTTTGCCAGATCTAGAAGCAGGTTTAGGAAGAAGCATCAGAAACAGGATCAGTATAACTACTTGATGTGAACAAATATATCACTACTCAATTTTCCATGGCTTGTAACTCACCATCAGCATAAGCCACGCCCCCTGGTAGGATCCTCTTTACATAAACTCCATATTCTTCTCTTGTCAACTCCTTGACACCACCGATTACCTTAATACCTAGGAAGAAAAGTCACTCAATTACACAGCAGCTAGCGCCAGGCATAACTTCCACAGGAGAGTGCTACCATGGGGGTCATGGAAAGTGACAGCTCCAAACACAGCCAACCAACATCACCCCATGTCATGAATACAATCTTCCCTTCACCCCCAGCTTGATTCCACAGATTTCACCAAGGGAAAAGCAAATCCAACACAAACCCACATAAGAGGAACTAATACTTGGGATGATGTTACTTCCCCAGGGTTTGAATAATGCCGGTCAATGTTGGGAAAATACTGCACAAATATGGCAAACATTCACTCAAGTATAAACAGCAAATTCACTTAGATGGCTTCATCAACAGGACGCATGTGGAAATATCTGGGGTGGAGGATGCAAGCCAACTACAGATGGCAACACCAGAGGAGGAGGAGGAACTGGCTGCTCTGCAGGGAGGAGAGTGGCTGTTGGCCACCTTGGGCAATAGACAGTGCTCCACCCCTGACCCAGGTCCTCTGTCCAAGGTGGTCAAGAACCAGTGTGCTGAACTGGCAACAGAAGGTGAGAAGCAGACCCCAATGGCTGAGGAGGAGGAGATACTTGTTCCCAAGGCTGGGAAGCTCAAGGCCACCACACCTAAGAGGGGGAGATGTAGGGTTCCAGTGGTTGGTGACTCCCTTCTGGATGGAGGCTTACAACTGCCGACCTGACATGATGTCCTGGGAGTGTGCTGCCTGCCTGGAGCCCACATCTGAGACATTATGGAAAGGTTGCCAAGACACATCCATTTGTGTGACCACTACCTCATGCTGCTCATCCATGTGGGTACTAATGATACGGCCAGGTATGACATTGAACAGATCAGCAGCAACTATAGGGCTCTGCAAGTGACAGCGAAGGAGTCGGGGGCACAGATTGTGTTCTCGTCCATCCTCCTGGTTGAAGGCAAGGACCCAGGCAGAAACACATGCATTCTGGAGATGAATGCATGGCTGCGCCGATGGTGTCGATGGGAGACCTTTGGCTTCCTCAACCATGGGATGCTGTTCTGGGAAGGAGGACTCGTGGGAAGAGACAGGGTCCACTTGACCGAGAAGGGGAAGAGCTACCCACAGGTAAGCATAAAAAATGGCAAGGTTAACAGAGGGCTAAATGTTGGGAAGGTTTTGTGGAGGAGAGATGGAAAATTACAATACAAACTAGGGAAAGAACATGTTAAAGAATATTAGATAAGTTAGATGTATTCAAGACAGCAGGGTCGATGAAATTCATCCTCAGGTATTTAAGGAACTAGCAATTATCCTCACAAACTCAGACAATGGATGAGGTCCCAGAGAACCAGGGAAGGGCAAACATAACACCTATCTTTAAAAAGGGAAATAAAGAGGCCCAGGGAATTATAGACCAGTCAGCCTACCTTTGATACCTGGAAAGATTCTGGCACAAATTATTAAACAATCAATTTGTAAGCACCTAGAGGATAATAGAGGTATAAGAAATAGCCAGCACAGATTTATCAAGAACAAATCATGCCAAACCAACCTTATTTCCTTCTTTAACAGGGTTATTGGCCTAGTGGATGGAGGATTGGGGGCGGGGGGGAGAGGGTAGCAGTAGATGTGATATATCTTGATGTTAGTAAGGCTTTTGACACAATCCCACATGACATTCTCATAAGCAAACCAGAGAAATGTGGTCTAGCTGAAGTTACTATAAGGTGCGTGCACAACTGGTTGAAAGATGGTACTCAAAGAGTAGTTATCCATGCTTTGCTGTCACACTGGGAGGGTGTATCTAATGGGCCCCCCTGGGATCTGTCCTGGGTCTGGTACTCTTCAATATTTTCATTGATGACTTGGATAACGGAGTGGAGAGTAATGACATCAAGCTGGAAGGGACTGCAAGCATTTCAGAGGACAGAATTAGAATTCAAAGTGACCTTGACACATTAAAGAATTGGTCTGAAATCAACAAGATGAAATTCAATAAGGAAACGCACAACCACAAAATGGGGAAGAACTGCTTAGGTGGTAGTACTGGTGAAGAGGATCTGGGGGTTACAATGGATCACAAATTGAATATGAGTTGACAATGTAGTGCAGTTGCAAAAACAAGCTGATATCACTCTGAGTTGTATTAACAGGAGTGCCGAATGCAAGACACAGGAGGCAGCTGTCCCGCTCCAATTAGGCAGTGATGAAGCCTCAGCTGCAGTACTGTGTCCAATTCTGGGTGCTAGACATTAGGTAAGATGTGGATAAATTGGAGAGAGTCCAGAGGAGAGCAACAAATAATGATAACAGGTTTAGAAAACCTGACCTCAGAGGAAAGGTTAAAAAAACTGGGCACGTTTACTCTTGAGAAAGGACGGCTGAGTGGGGACCTGATAACAGTCTTCAAATACATTAAGGGCTGTTACAAAGAGGACTGTGATCAATGGTTCTCCATGCCCACTGAAGGTAGGACAAGAAGTAATGGGCTTAATCTGCAGCAAGGGAGATTTTGGTAAAATATTAGGAAAAACTTTAAGGCTAATTAAGCACCAGAACAGGCTTCCAGCTAAGGGCGGTTGTGGAATCCCCATCACAGGAGGTTTTTAAGAACAGGCTGGACAAACACCTCTCGGAGCATCTAGGTTTACCTGGTCCTGCCTCAGCACATGGGGTCTGAACTTCACCTCTCAAGTTCCTTCCAGCCCTGCTTTTCTATGATTCTATGGCATTCACCATCCCTTTCATTCCCTTCCCCCAGCCAAAACAGCGTGGGAGCAATGTCTGGTTTGTAGAAATGCTTGGGGAAAGGGAATGCCTTGCAACCATGTAGTCTGCACAGCTGAAAGGTTGGTGGGCCCATCTTGTAAACTAACTGGGTTTGGGAGTGAGGAGCAGAAACAAAAGTATATGACCTGGGTGCCCAATGACACAGCATAAACCACAACTTATAAATAGTGCACACGCAAATTAGTCGTCACCGAGTAGAGTATCCAAGGAAACTGTAGCTCAGGAATGTCTCCAGAGACCTCTCCATCAAATCATTTCAACATTTCAACTAGACAAATTCAGCCAAATCAAATTCTGCTGATGGATAAATCCCTAACACCCAGCTCCAATGTCTCTGATCAGACAAAGAGAGCTGCATCATGGGACCATTATTGTGGACAGCCACATCTTCAGCCCCTGAGAGAGAGAGATCTTCAGCTTTTCCCACAATCCATTCAAGCACTAGACTTAACACAGGGAACAGAAATGTCGCTGCTAACATACGTGGCTCAGCACATGTTGCATGGCACCCCCTAGTGGCTGAGTCACAGAGGGTTAGGAAGCTACCACTGCCTCCAGAGATAAAAACCTTTGGCAGAAGCAGTAGAGGCTCCAGCTTTTAGATGGAGCTTTTGTGACTTGGGCAGAGCAGATCAGAGATAGGAGCCAGAATGCCGAGCACATGAGTATTTCACAACCCTGAACAACAGTGCCACAGAAGAGTCCTAGATGTTCATTTTGAAAAGATGGGCACCTCGCATTTAGGATTCTAGCAATATTAACTGATTAAAGCTGGTGTCCTGGCAGTGCCATGGAGAACTCCAAGGCAGTGGGGTTCCATACAGCAGCACCCTAATAATTCCAGCCAGCACGTCTCTTTCCTCATTGCACCAACCTGTGTATGCCAGTTAAGATCACACGACCTAAAGCAAGTCATGACCTCTCAGTGCCAGCTGAGATTTCAGTGGCATGAACTTCCTCAGTAAGTTCCTCCAGACCACCATGGGAATTTCTTGGTGGGGAAGGGATCCATTTGGCTTCCAGCCTCTTTATACCACTGGAGTCATACACAGGAGCAAGACCATAACCCAGAATTGGGACCAAATATTCCTATGTAGCATTCGAGAGATTTCTGTGTATGAAGAGCAGAGGAAGAGCGTCCCCTGCTTTAAGGCTTCTTTGTTAAGGGACTACCACAACACATTTCTGCCTCTGAATGTGGCATAGCTGATGTTATTTTAATGCAGGGGTTTTTATGGTGCTTACACACAGCAATGCCAAACTACATAAGCTGCTTGGCAGGAAAAGGCAGAGGAGACTGATTTGTCGCGGGCTCATTAAACACCGATTCTAGGGCTCTGGACTGTGGAATTAAGAATGCTGGCTTTAATTAACAAATCTTCCCAGAGATCCACTGCTGATCAGACATTTGACTGCACTGAATCCAAGGTGGAATGGGGGTATTCAGAAGGAAGAATATACGCCAAAGAATGCTCAGTCCCACACCCCCAACATGGGACGTGTAGCGCCACTGGAAGAGCAACCTCCCAGGTTCTTTATGCCCCATGGCTTCCTCCTCAAAAACCGTTGAAAAATCCTAATCAACAGGACAGCTTTTAGAAATCAATAGATAGTTTTACTGAGCAGCCTCTGGGGGAGATCCATGACCTTAGTGCCATGCTAAGGGATCTAGATGGAGGTTTGCAAAGCCAACAAAGGGATTTAGCAACACTACTTCCCTTCATTACAATTAATGGGAGTTGTGTGGCTGAATTCCCTCGTCAGCAATGAACATCTCAACATGCTGTGGCCTTGTTTAGATTTCTGCGCACACCTGCCTATTCATTGCAGATGCCCATGACATCAAATTCCCCTCACTAGAGCTAAACTGCAGCCATTCCACCCATCCCAGGAGACCTGCAGCCAGCAAGCCAGGCACACTAAAGGTAGGAACAATTCTCCTCCTCCATCCATTAATCACCCTTGGGATTTTCACCCTTTTCCAAATGATCAGGTGACGAGATGAACTGATGGCCATTGGATGGGGGCTATTCTTGACCCAGGGCAGAGAGAGTTCCAAAGTCAAGGGGTTCTCACAGAGAAAGCCCTGCTAATAGTTTCTTCTTGTTTATAGTCTGAGCTCCTCCACTGGTCTTGGCTGTGGCGTCTGAAGCGGGCAGGTCATCACAGTTTAAAACTGGCTTCGTAGTTTAGAACTAGAGCCAGTCAGAATTTTTTCCATATCGCTATATTTGTTT